AGACAGATAAAACTTTATTTTGTTGGTATTTATTCACCACTGGGATTTTGATTTATTTGCTATATAAATGAAAAAGTCCAAACATTTTGAAAAAAAAAGTGTTTTTCTTATAAAATTTAGCAAATAAATAATTTGTCTTCATAAATTTTGGACAATATATATGCAGCTTTATAGTAAAAAAAAATAACCCAAATTAGTTTATAACCAAAAATTATAATTTTTCAAAAAAATGTTTTTACATTTATATTTGATTGTTCTATATTATTATTTATGTTTTTGTTTTGTTTTTAACATACTGTCGCCCTAGCAGCACAGTGTCACCATAGTGACACTGTACTACTTGTTGGGGGGTGATGATGTTTTTTTTTTTTTTTTTTTTTTTTACACTGATTGCTTTTACACCCATAAAGGCTGTAAAATCAATAATTTCTTCCTCTCTCTGGCTGCATTCTTGCAGCCATTGAGAAATACTGTGAGAGCTGTGATTGGTCACAGCTTGTCACATGGTACAAGGCTGTTGTGAATAGGCTTGTACCATGTGACCTCTGATATCATTCACAGATTTCACTAGTAGTAAGAAATGATGTCAGGAAGTGATATCTTGCTTACTACTATTCATGTGATCACTGATTGGCCAATTAATGATCACATGATCGGGACCTCACACAGAGGTCCCATACTACGATCGGTGTTCCGCTGTGTCCTACGGGTACAGCGGGCACTGGATCGCGGTGCCATGCACTCCCAGGGACCGCACACAGGCAATGCATGCGGGAGGACGTTTATAAACGGCCACCCACTCCTGCACTGCTCCCGTCCGGTAGTTTATGTACATGGGCCGGACGGGAAGTGGTTAATGAATTAAGAAAAAAATAAACACAACATATACCCCAATTTTCTTGTAAAATATGAAAGAGGATATTACAGCAAGTAAGTAGATACTCAACATGTCACGCTTTAAAATTGTGCACACTCGTGGAATGGCAACAAACTATGGAACTTAAAAATCTCCATAGGCAACCTTTTAAAAACATTTTTTACAGGTTACTTGGTTTGAGTTACAGAGGAGATCTAGCGCTACAATTATTGCTCTTGCTCTAACGTTTGCGGCAATATCTCACATGTGTGCTGCGAACACCATTTACATATGAGTGCGAAACGTTCTTATTTATTTTATTTTTTATTTTTACACTGTCCCTTTATTTATTAATTATTTTTTAATCACTTCCTATTCCTATTACAAAGAATGTAAACATCAATGGTAAATATAAATATGCATGACAGGTCCTCTTTAAGAAGAGATCTGAGGTCACAAACTCACAATGTCTCCTTTACCTTTAAAAGTAAAAGATCAAAAAAACTTTTTTTTTGATCTTTTGCTTTTAACCACCTCCCGCCCGCCATATAGTCCAATGACGGGTGCAAAGTGGTTCTCTCGTTCTGGGAGGACTTCATATGACGTCCTCCCATTCTCACCGTGCATGCGCGGCTCAGGGAGCGCACAGCGTGGCGATTGGCGGTGCGCAGTGTCCCTTGGACACAGCGGATCACCGATCCACGGAAAGAGCCGAAGATGTTGGCTCGGCCAAGTGATCAGCTATGTCCAATCACAGCTGATCACATGTAAACAGGGAAATGCCAGTTATCGGCATTTCTCTCCTCTCGAGCTGTCACATGTACAGTTGTGTTACCAAAATTATTCAACTCCCACTGAAATTGAGTGTTTTGGCCAGTTTGACATTGCTTTTGATCATTCAGTCATCTTGCTTACATTTACATTAAAGAGGCACTTGTAGGTCAGACAAATATAACATAACAGTTATAATTGAAATAACCAAAATGTCTTTTCTGTGCTCACAAGCATTTATCAGTTTTATTCAAACCCCAAGTGACATTCAATCTTAGTACTTAGTAAAGCATCCTTTTACAGTTATAACAGCTTTTAAACGTGAAGCATAGCTTGACACAAGTGTCTTGCAGCGAACGGGCAACTAGATATCTTCGCCCATTCTTCATGGGCAAAGGCCTCCAGTTCAGTCACATTCTTAGGCTTGCGCACTGCAACTGCTTTCTTTAAGTCCCCCACAGAGGTTCTCAATCGGATTTAAGTCTGGTGACTGCGATGGCCACTCCAAAATGTTCCAGCCTTTCCTCTGCAACCATGCTCTAGTGGACTTGGAGGTATGCTTGGGATCATTGTCCTGTTGAAAGGTCCAACGTCTCCCAAGCCTCAGGTGTGTGACGGACTGCATCACGTTTCCATCCAATATCTCCTGGTACTGAAGAGAATTCATGGTACCTTGCACACGCTGAAGCTTCCCTGTACCTGCAGAAGCAAAACAGCCCCAAAGCATGATTGACCCTCCACCATGCTTCACAGTAGGCAAGGTGTTCTTTTCATCATATGGAAAGTAGTTGGTAGGCCTTGTTCTTCCTCCTCCAAACATAGCGTTGATCCATGGGCCCAAACAGTTCTAATTTTGTTTCATCAGTCCACAGAACACTATCCCACAACTTTTGTGGTTTGTCCACATGGCTTTTTGGCATACTGCAGTCGACTCTTCTTATTCTTTGGAGACAGCAAGGGGGTACGCCTGGGAGTTCTGGCACGGAGGCCTTCATTACGCAGTGTGCGTCTTATTGTCTGGGCTGAAACTTCTGTACCCACATCTGACAAATCTTTTCTCAGTTCCTCAGCAGTCACACGGGGACTTCTCTCCACTCTACGCTTCAGTAGCGCACAGCAGTCGAAGTCAGCATCTTCTTTCTGCCACGACCAGGTAGCGTTTCAACAGTGCCCTTTGCCTTGAATTTGCGAATGATGCTTCTATGCTTGTGTCTCTAAGGTGTCTCTTGGTATTTAACATCTTTGCAATCTTCTTATAGCCATTGCCCTTCCTGTGAAGAGAAATCACCTCTTCTCTTGTCTTCCTGGACATTCTCTTGCCTTCACCATGTTTGTAACCACACCAGTAAATGTCTAGAAGGAGCTGAGTATCACAGTCATTTTAAAGCTGCCTAATTGGTGCTTATTATGCTTGATTGCTGCTCGGTGACATCCACAGGTGTTTTCAATACCTGATGGAAAGCACCTGTATGAACCTCTGTTCTTCAGAGTGGTAGTCTTTAAGGGGTTGAATAATTGTGGCAATGAAGAAGAAACCACATAAGAACCATTTACTACTGTATTACATAAACAATTGATGTCATTTTAGTTGCATTTGGGTAGTTACAACGTCCTTGTAGGATTTGATTCTGAATACAATTCCAAATGTACACTATAGTCCCTAAACCCCTTTACAGCATTGGGGTTGAATAATTTTGGTCACAACTGTAAACAGGGAAATGCTGGTTATCGGCATTTCTCTCCTCTCGAGCTGTCGTCTTGAAACCACTTGAAAGCAAAACGTGTCCCATTGACCTAGTTAGTAAAAAGTACAACCTGAGGTGATCATATTCTAGACCTAATACTGAGAAATGGGGATCGACTGTCTAATATTGAGGTTAGAGAAAATTTGAGTTCTAGTGATCACCAATGTCTTTGGTGTGATATTAAAATAAGAACTGAAAAATACACAAAAAGTTTTAGATTTTTTGCTGAAATCGGTGCATTTCTAAAAAATTAGTTGAATGGTTGGAGTAAAACGACAGGAGTAAGTAATCAGCGGGCACTGATCAAGTCTACTATCCTGAAGGCAACTAGATTGTAGATAAGTAGGATAGTAAAGGAAAAAAAAATCATCAATGTAAAACAATGCACCTAGGGAAAAAGAATCCCTTGAGAGAGTACAACATTGGGGGTACATTGCAGGCCAGCACTACAGAGGAAAAGGAGGATTTGGGGGTACTAATTTCAGATGATTGCAAAATGAGGAAACAGTGTGGTCCTGATTCCCCTATATAGATCTTTAGTTAGACCTCATTTAGAATACTGTGTCCAGTTCTGGAGACCTCACTTACAAAAAGATATTGATAAGATAGAATGAGACGGGTAACAAAAATGGTGAAAGTTCTTGGGGATAAAACATATGAAGAGTGACTTCAGGAACTTAACATGTACAGTCTGAAGGAAAGAAGGGAAATGGGAGACATGATTGACACCTTTAAGTATATCAAGGGGATGAATACGGTTCAGGAGGGCAGTATTTTGAACACAAAACCAAAATCAAGAACACGGGGACATGACCTTAAATTGGAGGAAAGTTCAAAACTAATCTCAGAAATACTATTTTACTGAAAGTAGTGGTTGCTTGGAATAAACTCCCAGCAGAGGTAGTGAGCCAGTCAACAGTAAATAGCTTCAAACATGCCTGGGACAAGCATAGATCTATACTCAGACAAAAAAAAAAAAAAAAATAATCATAAAAAAAAAAACCGTGCAGTCTCCATGGACCACTCAGTCTTTCTCTGCCGTCACTTTTCTATGTTTCTATGACTTCACCTTGTCTAGGTGAGCCGGGTGGAAGATTGGGAGTAAGATAAAGCTGGCCATATACAGATCAAATTTTGTATCATACCTGACAAAACGTGTTGAATGCATCACCCTGTTGGCACCTACTCACTCAACCAATGTTTATTCTTCTATCAACTTTTGTTGATGAAGCCAAGTCAATCAGAAGCAGGCACTGTTCGAGTGTTGTGAGGGTTACAGGTGCTGACTCTCAGAATACAATAACCGTTACTGCAGATTAGTTGCTCCACATTAAACACACGCTGCTCAAAGTTTAGCAAACGGCAGGATCTCTATGTTCTGGGGTGCTCGCCCAGTCGTAGCTGAAATATGTGAAGCAAAAGAAATCCGGATGGCCACACTCCCTATAATAGATCCAAAATCACCTTTCTTCGATCACTCCCTAGAGACACACAGGTGTACAAGCAGGGGAGGGTAGAGGCTAACGCACTTCACACAAAAACTGTGTTTTGTCAAAACCAAACTGACAAACCATCCGACACAAACACATATACCTGCTGGGTAATACCCAGGTGTGTGTTATCAGCAGGTTACCCAGTGCTACCCCATATACATCCATTTCAGCTCCACTTTACAAAGATGTATATAACATATCCAATCATAGATCCACACTGTTTAGCATTAACCTCCCTGGCGGTATTCCTGAGTGTAGCTCGGGGTAAGGTTTCAGTACCACAAGAGGCAACCCCGAGCTACACTCGGGCTTACCATGCGGTGCTGCTGCGGGATCCCTCGATCACTTACCTTGTCCTTCGTTCCTGCTATGTCCCTCCAGCAGTGTCCCCAGCAATGTCCTCCGGCGCATGCCGGCATCTGTCATCTAGGTTCCATCCCCTGCAAGCGTCGGGACGTACGGGGGACAGAACAGGCAGGAAATTTGAAAATGTCAAAAAGTGACATTCACTAAATACACTAAAATCACATAGTAAAACATTACTGTATCAAACCATTTCACATACATTTTGTCCCGAGTGCTTTGTCCTGTGCCCTGCCTGAATTTTTACTGTTCTTTCTGCCTGGAAACTGAGAAAAGTCCATGGTGTCCAAAAAGCGTCCCTTTATGTCAAAAGGTTTTAGACCAGCTAGAGAACAGCGATAGTAAATCAGAACCACTTACAGAATTGAATGATAATGATTCGTGGGGAAATTTGTCATCAGACACTGAAAACAATTTTGCGACTTTGCTCAGTGATGTGCGAACTTTGCGCTCAATTTCAAATTTCAGTGTTTTTGGTTTGATATTATTGAATTAAATTTATTATTATTATTTTTTATGATTATTTATTAAATTATAATTTATGATTTCGTGTTTCAAATTGTAACATACCCGGGATGTTTACTAGACTCTTGTTCGGACAGATTTCAGTGAGTTATTCCTAAAAATTACAGGCCTACAATAAAAAAAATACATATTTCCATGCAAAAAAATGTACCGCTTTGAGCACAGAAATATGGACATAATCAGACCGCTAGGGAGGTTAATGGGGGGACTCTGTGGGCTGAATGAGAGAAATTTTAGGCCAGCTTATGTCTTTCTTATGGATTTTTCCTAAAGATTTTTTTTTCTATTCAGTGATGCAGACTTTTGACAGAAGTGAGGATGGCGTGGGGGGGATGTAGCAACCACACAAGCAGGCCTTACATTTTAGTGCAAAGTTCCCTTTAGTATCAGACATATCTTGAAAACATTAACATTAACTTGATATTTGATAATATGGCAAATATCAAGTACAAGGTTCTTATAATATCCTGACAAAGGTCTCCATGGTAAATACATTAAGCACATAGATGTGAACTGCCCTCTTCTTTAGCAGACAGAAGACAGAAGGGTGGTAGGAGGTCATGTCTATATGAAGACATGTTTAAAGATTGTAATACGGATCACTGAGTTTTAAAGTGTGCAAATATTCATTAACTATGGCCTTCAGAGCGATCGCAGTACCTGCAGATCACAACACAGAGAGGGAGCACAGTTTAATTACAGCATATCTGATGTAAAGGCATAAATTTTGCTATCCACGCAGGACCATAAAATACATGGAAATGATGTGTTTAATTATATTTCCCTTTTAAACCAAAACTAATGATAAAAGATGTACATTTCCCTCTCTGTAATCTGCTTAAACATACTCTCCTAAATTAAAATGAATAGATGTAATCAGTTTGGTAAGCCATCGTTCTATAATAACCCCCCTTATTTAAGCGAGTCACCTCAACTGCTGAAGGTCAAGCCTAATCCTGACCATAGGATGTCATTGTGAGGACTGCTCATTATTCACGTCTGTCTTACATGAAAACCTGTAGGGCTCCCATAACCTTTTATACTGTATATACCACCACATCTACTTAGAAATGCTCGTTTTGGTAGATCTTGGTAGGTTTGGCAGCATTTTCCAGATGATTGTGTAGTTACAACGAATGTACTTATCTAGTGCCTTCAGCTAAAATGAACTGATTCACAACATGTATGGAAAACGGGCCAAGTTGAGTTCTACCAAGTACCTGTATAGAGCTTGTAGTCATGCCTGAGCACTGCAGCAAAGGCACCTGGGAGAAAATCGAATGTAAAGAAGGACTGTGATGGGATGCATATGATTCGGAGTAAATAAATGAAGGGGTATGGCCATGCTTTTGAGTATAATGTGAAGAGCTGGCAACACGTTCTCCCAATAAAAGTACTTTATTAATAAAGGGCACAGAGTGCAGGTTACAGCAGTTTATGCGTTTTGGTTAAAAACCTTATTTATAGCTATGGCGGGCCTCTACAGGAATTTATATACATTCGGATGAGACAAACCATTTAACACTGACAGGGATGATTAAATGGTCAGCTTTTATTTATTCATGTAAACCATTTATCCCAAAAGGAAAAAAAAAACTATTTGCTGTAACTGAATATAAAGTGTGAGCAGGAGTTTGGCTTCAATTTGTTATTGTACCTAAATCTGCTACTACATCTAACACCCCCTCCCCACAGATTTACAAGGCAGCTGTCTGATGTGCCTCCTGTGCTCCTTCATCCAGAGTGGTGTCCTACTAATACAGGAAGTGTGCTACTGGGCAGAGCACCGGGTAAAAACAGTGGGAAAAAAGCCTAAGTAAAGAAAACTGATGCAGCCACCACTACCATTTTTTTTAATACATTTTGGGTTTGCTTTAAGCATGGCAAAGTTATTTGCAAATAAAAACAAACAACTTTTTCATTATAGACCTTTTTTATGTGACTCTGAAAAATGCAAATACAATGAATAAGAACAGAATTGCATAATAAAGGTTAAAAAAAAGAAAGACACTCAGCAGAAAAAAAATAGCCAAGGGGAGGTAAGAAAAGGGTTAATTATGTCTAATTAGGGCTAGCTAACGGTTAAAAGGGGTTAAATAGTAATCCATTTCATTAAAATAAAATTGTGTATGTATATATATATATATATATATATATATACACACACACACACACACACAGTGGATATGAAAAGTCTACACACCCCTTTTGGGTGTCTGTGATGTAAAAAAAAATTAGACAAAGGTAAATCATTTCAGAACTTTTTCCACCTTTAATGTGACCTATAAACTGTACAACTGTTGAAAAACAAACTCAATTTTTTTAGGTGGAGGGAAGTAAAAATTACAAAACTAAAATAATATGGTTGCATAAGTGTGCACACCCTTAAACTAATAAATTGTTGAAGCACCTTTTGATTTGATTCCAGCACTTGCCTTGGCAATATTTGCCCGCTCTTCCTTGCAAAAACACTCCAAATCTGTCAGATTGCGAGGGCATCTCTTGTGCACAGCCCTCTTCAAATCACCCCACAGATTTTCGATTCTGTCTGGTAATCCAATGAACGTGTCTGGGTTTGGTGGTTGCCAGGAGAACGGTACTTGCCTGACTGCATTGTGCCAACTGTAAAGTTTGGTGGAAAAGGGATTATGGTGTGGGGTTGTTTTTCAGGGGTTGGGCTTGGCCCCTTAGTTCCAGTGAAGGGAACTCTTAAGACATCAGCAAACCAAGACATTTTGGACAATTTCATGCTCCCAACTTTGTGGGAACAGTTTGGGAATGGCCCCTTCCTGATCCAACATGACTGTGCACCAGTGCACAAAGTAAGGTCCATAAAGACATGGATGAGTGAGTTTGGGGTGGAAGAACTTGACTGGCCTGCACAGACCTTGACTGGCCTGACCTCAACCCAATAAAAAAACACCTTTGGGAAGAATTAGAGAGGAGACTGTGAGCCAGGCCTTCTCGTCCAACATCAGTGCCTGACCTCACCGATGCGCTTCTGGAAGAATGGTCAGATATTCCCATAGACACACTCCTAAACCTTATGGACAGACTTCCCAGAAGAATTTAAGCTGTTATAGTTGCAAAGGGTGGGCCAACTCAATATTAAACCCTACGGACTAAGAATGGGATTCCATTAAAGTTCATGTGCGTGTATAGGCAGGCATCCCACTATTTTTGGCAATATACTGTATGTAGGTAAAGGGTTAATGAGGGGGCAAGCATCCCAATACTTTTGGAAAAATAGTATAATATATATATATATATATATTTATTTATATGTATAACATATACTAAAGTTTCTTTAGCTGATGTCATACACAGCTAAAGGTCATACCTTTGATCTACATATTGATGAAATAGTAACTACAGTGTAAAAATACATTGTTATACTGCATTACTCAATGATGCTCGCAAACATCGCAAGTGTTATTTTTCACAGGATTTACACTGTATTTTGACAGTCGCTCTTGCAGTGTAATATTTCCAGGTAATAGTTGCGTAGTGAGAGGCAGTGGAGGCACAAGAGCTAAACATAGGAGATATGTCCTTCAAACATACTTACAATTATATCTTCTATGTTTAAAAAACTGAACAGTTAATGGCTATATACATCATTAAAATGCTGTTTTACTTACCAAACTATTTGTAAATATGTTCAGCCAGTCTTGTTGTGGTTTGCAGATTCCATTGTCAACTCTCCAGCTCCCATGTGAATCGGCATCATTATCTCTGTCTAATTAGCACTGAAGTAATCCAGAAAAGTGCACTTCAGTCAAACTCTTGGGTTTGCTTTATAGCTAGTTCAAGAGACATAATTTGCCTCTTATACACCTCTAATTTGTATCCAGGTGTTCATTTTTTGCACTTGGCCATACCAGCTACACCCCAGTCATTTGGGTGTCCCTTGTATCTGGATGACTGTTAACCTGAGACTATGAAAGTGCAAGACAATGGGATCCCATGTTCACAGCAACCCCATTTGTAGAAAGACTCATATGAAAGGAGGCTGCCATCTTGTAAAAATTACTCTTGGTCCAACCCTTTCATTTCTTGAGCCAATTTAATGCTTTGGATATGAGAGTGGAGGTGTCATGCTCAATTCATATAGGCAATTTTGAGCACTTCAGTTTCACTGAATGCACCCTCTGCTTTTGTGGTTCTTCTTGGCATGTACTTTACATGTATTTTTTCATTGGTACCTATGTCTTTGTATTAGTAATCAGCCTTTCCAGCAATATTTAGACTAGGAGTTAAAAAGTCAGTATTGTTAGCCAATCAGGGTTTACTACATTACACAATATTGTGAATCTACCAAATGGAGCTTGCCAACGAAAGGACAAAGCAAGTATATAAGCTGCTGCTCCAACATACAATCACAGCCTTGACCAATTTGTTTTGGTTTTCCAGGTATGGAGCAAATAAGGGTGACCTCACACTGGCAGATTTAACCATGCTCAGGCACCGTTCACCCCTCTGGTCCAGTATGTTTGGGTAGTGTGAGTCCCTAGGAAGAGGTGGTCCTAGGCACTGTTCACCCCCTTGGTTCAGTACATTTGTGTAGTGTGAGTGCCTGGGGAGAGGTTATCCCAGGTACAGTTCACCCCCTTGGTCCACTACATTTGTGTAGT